ATCGATCGATCGCTCGGGTTCAGTAATGCGTAGCCTGCAGTGCAATCGCTCGGGTTCAGTTAGAGCCCAACGCCTCGCTCGGGTTCAGTTAGAGCCAACGCCTCGCACACACGCGCATACGTACGAGAGAAACGCGCATCGCTCCGCCCCCGACCTCCCACCGTAACCAGCAACTCCCCAAAATTTTCCTCCCCCTCGCTTCTACCACGGTTTTTTCCGTCATGGACGGCCCAAAGAATGTCATGCAGCTGCGTCTCCTGCCCGCCCAGGACGAAAAGTCCATTTACTGTCATGATTTTTTGTCATAGAAGTAGGAGCCCACCACATCTATGATGATACCGGGTTTTGTCACAATTATTGTCATAGAAGTGTCATATGTATGACAGGAAAAAAATTCGTTCGGCCCAAAATGTCACGGATGTGTATTTTTTTTGTAGTGTTGCCACTAGCTCGCATCCTTAGGGTGACTCAACATCTTGTCTTTTTTATTTATCTCCGGATAATTTTCATCATCTTCTCGCTTCTTCTCCTCCCTATCCGCGTGCCAACGCAGGAGCTTTGCTACCTTAGGGTCCGCCAAATACCGCTGCAGACGAAGAGTGATCGGAAAGTACCACACCACTTTTCGAGGAGCTTTCTTCCTATTCTTGTATCGAGTGACGCCGCACACCGGACATATGGTAGACTCCGCGTGCTTGTCCCAATAAATGATGCAATTGTTCATGCACACATGGTATTTCACGTTCGGTAAATCCAAAGGACACACGATTTTCTTCGCATCCTCGAAACTGGTCGGGCACTTGTTCCCCTTGGGAAGACGCTCGTGCCAGAATGACATGTTCTCGTCGAAGCATGCGTCGGTTATTTTGTGTTTTACCTTCATCTCCAGAGCCATGAGCGTTACTTTCAGGCAGGTATCCTCGGGCCTGCATCCTTCACACAATGGAGTAACTGTGTCTATCTCCAGTTGATCCAGCTTGGCTTTCTCTCGGGCGGCAGGTCTTGCGTTATCCGTCTGCTTGAGAAGCAGCTCTTGAATATGAGGGTCCTGCACCCAGCCCATCGATGGTCCATCATCTTCTGCTCCGGCATCTTCATCTTCATGATCATGCCCTTCGTCTGCTCCGGCATCTTCCTCATCATCATGTTCGGCATCTTCTACATGATGACTGTGTACTGCATCTACTTCGTGATCATGTCCTGGAGATTCTTCGTCTTCTCGCCCGCCCTCGCCGCGGTTGTCTTGCTGCCCTTCCTCATTTCTTTCCCGGCCCCCACGGACGACTTCATAATCATCTTCATCACCTTGCCACCGATAGCCATCCATGAAACCACGCAAGAGCAGGTGGTCCCACACCTGTACGGAATCCGGGTCCATAAGGCTCTTCAGCTTGCATCTTCGACACGGACATCTTATCTCCATCTCGTTCTTTTGAAGCATCTCGGCCTTCGTGGAGCTCAAAAACCTATTCACGATGCCTTCGGTCATCGTGCGGACCATGGTCGCCTGCGGGGTAGAGCAAAACGATATTTTAGAACCAAAAACAATTTGGCATGACTTTGCCTAAAAATAGGACCAAAAAGAATGCATAGTGCCAAATTCTCACCGAAACGGAAATGAATCAACATTCTGGCAAAATATTGGCAACTATCGCATTTCAAATACCGGTACCTGCAAACACAAACATATGCAACACCACAAACATATGCAACACCACAAACATATGCAACACCACAAACATATGTAGATCTAGGCCATAAAAAGTGCATGTGCACGTTGTTGGAGGGAGAAAAAAGTAGATCTACAACATAAAGAAAGCTTTCCCCTTACTTACCTATCAAAAAAGGAAATTTAACCACTTAATTTGGGTGAATCTATGGTGCAAATGAGGTGAGGAGGAGGAGGCACCCGAGATAAGCTTGGAGGAGGAGGTGGAGAGAATGAAGTGGGAAAAGTGAGTGTGATAGGTGGCTGTCCAAAATATCTAGCTGGTCCCAGGTTACTAACGGCGCACCACCTAATAATGCGACATTAGTAACTCTGGTTACTAATGGCGCACCTGTTACGTGGTGCGCCATTACTAGTTTTGCAAAAAAATGTTATTAGTGGTGCACCGTGTTTGTGGTGCGCCATTACTAGTTTGAACTAGTAATGGCGCACTGTTGCTTGGTGCGCCATTACTAGTTTAAAAAAAATAAAAAAAATTGTTAGTAGTGGCACATAGAGTGTGTAGTGCGCCATTACTAGTTTTGGAAAAAAAAATTATTAGTAGTGGCGCACCATGGGTGTGGTGCGCCATTAATGTCCATATTAGCTATAGCCCTTTTCCTAGTAGTGACGCTGTCTGGCGTCGGCGGTAGCTAGACCGGGTAAGGTTGATGCAGCAGTACAACTCTCAAGATGGATTAGTGGCAGGTGGCTGCGGCGGCCTCATACCCAGCAGGCGTCCTGATTGAGGAGCACGCCAGACTGGTGGGTGCCCATACACAACAGACGTCCTGATTGGGACCTCAGGTTTTAGATGTTAGGTTTGACTGCGAGGTCTGTTTGGTATTAGGCCTAAACTATCAGCGCTCCTTCATCAACTGGATAGGAGTAGCGACATGTGTTGATTAGACGGTGGCTTTAGTCTTGCTGTTGTATGACTTTGTAAGGTCTTGTGTTAATAATTAATAAAATAGCCGTATGCATCGTCCAGATGCAAAGGCCAGGGGTCTTCTCCTTTTCTAAAAAAATTGTATTGTTGCGCAGACGGTCAGCTCCGGCCCTCGGCTCTGCCGCATCTCGCTCTTTTTGAACACCTGCCCAGTAAATAAGCAGAAAACACGATCTCAAAATAGGATTTGATAAGCTTTTTTCTCAAATGTAGCTCGATTTCGAGCATCCAAATAGTGAGTGATTGATAAAAAACTACCACTTTAGGGGTTACCGTCCCATGGAACTACCACTTTTTAAAAACTGATCGAAAACTACAAAAATTTTCTAATTTTGTGACTAAAAACTACCACTTTCAAAAAATGGCCAGTTTAGACGATTTAAACAGGTTTATGACATGCAGGACCCACTCGTCAGAGCTGACGTGGCTGCAAAGTCAACTCCGTTTGACTGTTATTACAAGTGGGCCCGCATGTCGGTCTAACAAATATGCTTATTTTTTCCCTAAATCCCCAATCTTAGTCAAAGAAAAGAAGTCCACCTGCTGCCCCGTACCTCTGCTCTCGAGCCCGCACCGTCGCTCGATCAGGCCGGTGAGGCAGCCGCTGGCCACCGGAGCCGCGGGATCCGAAGAGCACCTGCCCCTCCATTTTCCCGGCGAGGCAGCCGCCAGTGCCGCGGGGCCGAAGAGCACCCGCCCCTCCATCTTCTGGCGAGGAAGTCGCCATCGCCGCGAGATCCGGCGAGGCTTTGGATGCTGCTGCCGTCCCCTGCCTCCTTGTCGAACTCCTCGAGCATATCTCTCGCTAGGGCGCTGGCGGGGGGAGGGCCGAGGTCGTCCTCGGCGTCGGCCCAGATGGCGTCGTCCTCGTCGGCCTCCTTCTGTCGTCGCCCTCGTCGGCCTCCCTTCGAGCTGGAGCTCGTGGTCAGCGGCGAGCAGCAGCACCACGGCACCGGCCTTCCTCTCGGCTCCGGCGATGACCACCGGGCAGTCGGAGCTCCGCAACACCCTCCTCCCATCTGCTGGAACGGGACGTTGAGGCTCAGGCCCGTCACGCACAGAAGTTGTTTGTGAAAATGCCAAACAAAAATAGAGAGAGGAGGAAGAAGAATGACGTGTGGGTCTCACCTATAATAACGGTCAACTGAACGGTCAACATGTTTAAATCATTTAAACTGGCTATTATCTGAAAATGGTAGTTTTTAGTCACAAAATTAAGAATTTTTGGTAGTTTTCGGCCATTTTTTAAAAAGTGGTAGTTCTGTGGGACAAAAACCCCTAAAGTGATAGTTTTTTGTCAAACACTCTCCAAATGGCTCAGGTTACAGCAGACAAGTCCCACGGTATAAAATTTGTCACCGCGAGGGAGAAAAGAGTAGCACCACGAATAACATTGCCAATGGCGCTGTTAGGACAAAGATCAGTATCAAGCATTACGCATACCGATCTCCAAACAATTCTAGCCACAGGGCAAGTGAAAAACAAGTGTTGAGAAGATTCTTCCTCTCTACTAGTAGTAATTTGGTGTGGGTTAGGCTCTATCATGTATTGACCGATTCACGTGTGATCAGACTCTACTCATACTACTTTCAGCATGAACTGCGCTGGACGGTATGTGTAGGAGTACGTACTAGTTAGTGTGGTCAGCATCAACGGGGAATTAACAACTAGTTAGCCAGCGATATCGTCCACGGAGACGTCTCAGTCGATAGTAATGAGATACCCATGGATCCTCTCGTGATGGTAGTGGTGCTGCAGTAGCGCAGGCAGTGATCTCCATTGTTCCTATACATAGTATATATGATCCGCCGTGGTCGTCGATCCCAGCTAGCAAGTAAGGCGTGAGGTCCACTCGTGCGAATCGAACCCAATGATCTCTTTCGTTTCTTTTTGTTATCTTGAGATCCTCGTGTGCAGGTGAGACCACTCACGAGGGTATAAGAGCAGCCATTGTTTCCTTCCATGACATGACATGCTTGCTCACCCTTCTCATCATTCTCACGCAGCCAAGATGGGGAGTTTGCACAAGGCCACCTTTGTTCTCCTTATGCTCTGCATGTCAGCATTGGGGAGAGCAGAATATCTCAAGTACAAGGACCCGAAGCAGCCCGTTGGCGCCCGCGTCAAGGATCTGCTCGGCCGGATGACCCTCACGGAGAAGATAGGCCAGATGACGCAGATCGAGAGGATAAACGCCACTGCGGAGGTGATATCAAAATACTTCATAGGTAAAATCATATCCCATGCTCACGCTAAAACATGTGCAAATGGCGAATGCCGGCTGCGGACTCTGTGTTTGACATTGGTGTGCGGTGACGAATGCAGGTAGCGTCCTGAGTAGCGGCGGTAGCCCGCCTTTTCCCCGAGCGTCTGCTAAGGATTGGGCTTCAATGGTGGATGAAATGCAAAAGGCCGCCCTCTCCACCCGCCTAGGCATTCCTATGATCTACGGCATTGACGCTGTGCATGGTCACAATAACGTCTACAAAGCTACCATCTTCCCTCATAACGTTGGTCTCGGAGCTACTAGGTATAAAGTGCTCTTAATTTTTTTTGTGATAGATAGGTTTTGTATATTACGTCGATAGGGTGTGAAAATTATGTAGAAAAAGAATAAACACAAAGTGTGATATGCATATAGTTTGCGATGCATATATTGATTCCATCTATATTGTTAATGTCTCGCGGCCTTCCAGGGACCCTATGCTGGTCAAGAGGATAGGAGAAGCAACTGCTCTTGAAGTTAGAGCTACCGGGATTCCATACGTCTTTGCTCCATGTATCGCGGTAATAGATAATACATGCTGCAGGTTGGTCTGGATAGCAAAGATTGTAGTTCTTAGTTACTCATTTGCTTATTTTATTACTCAGGTTTGTAGAGACCCAAGATGGGGACGCTGCTATGAAAGCTATAGTGAAGACCCATATGTTGTCCGGTCAATGACCACAATCATCTCTGGCTTGCAAGGTGATGTTCCCTCAGGTTCCGAGGGAAGACCATATGTTGGTGGAAGGTAATATATATCCAACACATAGTAGCCAAATTGTCTCCCGAACGTGTAAATGTGAAAGTAACGTTACATTAGAAGATGTGGCTAACTTTGCCGCAACTCTGATATCCTCTGCAGTAAGAAAGTTGCCGCATGCGCAAAGCACTATGTTGGTGATGGTGGCACGTTTATGGGGATCAACGAGGGCAATACAATCATCGACAACCATGGGATGATGACTATCCATATGCCTGCTTACTACAATTCTATCATCAGGGGCGTATCCACTATTATGGTCTCGTTCAATAGTTGGAATGGAACAAAAATGCACGCCAACCATTACCTAATCACAGATTTTCTCAAGAACAAGCTCAAATTTCGGGTGTGTTGCTCATTCTGGCAGAAGATGTCTCTTCCTAGCTATTTGTTTTACTTCTTGTATATGAAGATATATTGGTGTCATTAATTTATTGGGAATTTGTGCAAACAGGGTTTAGTGATTTCAGACTGGCAAGGCATTGATAAGATTACTACTCCCCCACACCTGAACTATTCCTATTCAATTGAGGCCGGAGTTGGTGCTGGTATTGACATGGTAAGCCAAGTCCAATCAACTTCTGTCGACAAAACTCGTTTTGATAGCTAGCATGACAAAGGATGTTCCTTGTCTGGCTATGATACATCCTTGAAAATTGTTGTCTCTTCTGCAGCTAATACAAATGTGACAATTTCTACAATAGCTACTTGCCATATAGGTAGACATAATCATAATATAGTATGTTAATTTTAAGATGCAACTTCAATAGAAGAAAAAAATGTATTCATTATACAATTAAAATTGAGAAAACATATCAATAGAGTACTCCCTCTCTCATTCGCAAAAAAAGGCCTACTCTGAGCTCACTCTATGATCAATACCCCAACATTCAATTTTTTGTTGAAAAAATATTTACTATATGTTATCTTGCAGATCATGGTTCCTTTTGCCTACACAGAATTCATTGATGGTTTGACATCCCAAGTTGAGAAAAACATTATCCCCATGAGCAGAATCGATGATGCTGTCTACAGGATTCTTCGGGTCAAGTTTACCATGGGTCTATTTGAGAACCCTTATGCTGATCGAAGCCTTGCTGGTGAACTCGGGAAGCAAGTAAGTTCTGAACACCACATTTTCTTTCTCTCACACTTCATTCATTAATATGCTATAGTTTTTAGTATAAACTCCTTCCCATTGTTAGGAACACCGAGAACTCGCTAGGGAAGCCGTCAGGAAATCACTGGTGTTGCTGAAAAATGGAAAATCCGCCTCCACTCCATTGTTGCCTCTCCCAAAGAAGGCCGGTAAGATCCTCGTCGCCGGGAGCCATGCTGACAACTTGGGCAACCAATGTGGAGGATGGACAATCGAATGGCAAGGAGATACCGGCAATGACAAAACTGTTGGTAAATGGTGTCTCTTATTTCACCATTTGTAGTACTAATTTGGAGTAGAGTTGTTGATCACTGGAATAAAAGTTCATGAAATCATCTAGTGAAACGCAGGGACGACGATCCTTTCGGCGATCAAGTCCACCGTGGACCCCAACACGCAGGTAGTCTTCTCAGAGAACCCGGACAGCGCCGCAGTGGGGAGCAGCAAGTACGACTACGCTATCGTGGTGGTGGGTGAGCCACCCTATGCCGAGTCGTTTGGCGACAACTTGAACTTGACGATCCCCACCCCCGGCCCTGTGGTGATCCAGACTATCTGCAAGAGGATCAAGTGTGTTGTGGTGCTCATCTCCGGCAGGCCGCTAGTTGTGGAGCCGTATGTTAGTGCCATGGACGCATTGGTCGCCGCCTGGCTGCCCGGCACGGAGGGCCAGGGTGTCACCGATGTGCTCTTCGGCAATTATGGGTTCTCCGGGAAGCTGGCGACGACGTGGTTCAAGTCGGTGGACCAGCTGCCGATGAACGTCGGGGACAAGCACTATGACCCATTGTTCCCGTTTGGGTTTGGCCTCACCACGGAGGCGAAAAATTGAGTGGGGTGAAATAATTGAGATGGGAAGAATGACGGTTAGTATGCAAGAGATAAGATTATAAACCGTTAAATCATGTCAACCTCCATAGGGGCGCATGGCTTTATGTATCTACTATGTACTACTCTTTATCTACTACTGCTATCAACTATGTATACTTGCTTAAAAAAACACAAGTTTGGTGAATCCAAATGATCTGAGCCATCCAATCACCTGGATGCAACGGGCCAAGGCCTCTTGTATCCTATGCCGAGGTGCGGTCTCTGTCGCAGCGGTGTGAAGGCGCAATGCAACTCTGCTCTCCCCATCTAGATGCTACCTTGCGCAAGTGCTCAAACTCATACGTGTTTTTCTCTCCAAAAAAACTCATACTTGCTTTTCTCTTAAAAAATATACAAGCAAAATTATACCAAAAAATAAACCTTCAAGCAAAATTAATAATTGAACAAAACCAGCGAATATGAAAGTATACCATTACTTCTTGAATCTCCGCTGACAGGGTGTCATGATACTCATGAAACATGCATGTACTTGACTCACCAACATAAGAATAAAAGTAACTAACATCATCCAACAATACAAACCATAGTAGAAAAATTAATATCATCGGACCATACAACAAACCAGGGCACCCTTCTTTATCTTTGGTACTGAAGATTAAAAGCTGCAGTCGAAAATAAAATACGTTGACAACATCAGACCATATCCCTTCTGAGTAACTGAAAAAATATTGGAGACCAGGGAGAGCTGCTGGACAACCAAAAAGATAACATTAGTACGCATGAACAGACATTTTCTATCAAGTCTACTACTGCACTGTATTCAATCAACAACATCTTCAATGAACCTTTTTTATGGAATCAACAGAAACTTTTGAATATACAACTCCAGTGCTTCAATTAAAAATAGTTGGAGCCATGGAGCTAACAAAATGGATGTGAAACACTGGTTTCAGATTACATATATTATCTCAGCTGTGAATCCCTATTTCTCCTCTATTTTAGATATCCATCATTTCAAATTTGATCTTTCACTGTGGGTTAGTTTACAGTTTGCATTGTGGCGATTCTCCTTTTAAAAACCATCCAAGCTTGAGATATTAGTACTATTTCACAAGCTGTCTATCAAGTACCAACCATCCATTAGAATTCTCCACACGTATTGTCTTTGTTTCTTGGAAGCCTTGTTAGCAATCCTTGTGTGTTTTCACAATCTATCCTGGAAAATCCATTTCCAAAATCTTAATGTTCCTAGATTGGGTTTTTAAATGTGGATCACATGGTACTCTGATCAGTATGATTTTAACATTTCTTGTGCTCAAATAAGAGTTTTTTTTGCACGTAGAGGATAAAGTGGTCATAACGGGCGATAAAGATCCCTAAATACAGCAATAGCTACAGAGCGCACCACAAACGTGTAGTAACCAAACAATGAGAAGTACCTAAATTCTGTGAATGAACTACAATGCAAAGGACTTGTATAATGAGGTCTGAATCTAACAGTTCCTCATATGCTGCATGTGTGCTCACATGTACAAGAAAAATTGTCTTCCCAAATAACATTTGACAATTAAATAAAGACATCAAAAAGGAATAAAATAAGACAGAGCTATAAACTGAAAGGAAGTAGAGCAAACCTGGAACTACAGGGCATTTGCTGCAAACAAAAATATAATCAAAGGGTTTCCATATCAGTTGCTTCCTGGTAAGTTCCTCACCCAACATGATGCGTATGAAAAGGACTCTTGTAGCTCTTCATATCCATACCTCATCTCACCCAAGTATAGAACTTTGCAGCTATCAAAATTGTAGGCCACTGTTCTGAAGGCCCCATGAAAGAAAACAACCTCTTTGTAAGGATGAAATCCAAGACAATAAAAATAATCCCGATAACCACCCTTGTTATCCCAATCATTTGTGCTAACCACGTATTCATTGTCAGAGTCCCAGTCAAAATCGCCTTCTGTCATTGCTTTGTCCTTGTCATCTGCAGGCTGAAGATTGATGTCATTCTTCAACACCAGGTCCATCTGATCCTCCGACTGCACGACCCAGTTTGGACCATCAACGTGGTTGGCAGGATAAATTTCCACTACTCGCTGAAGGTCGATGACATTCCTCAGTGCCCACTCCATCTGACCATGCGATTCATCAAGGAACTAAATCTGAAATGTGTTGCGGTCGACGCGGAATGCACAATACACCCCCTTCTCTGATTTTCCTATGCGAGGCACAGTATATCCTTTATTTCCATCTGGAAACTTGATCACTCGATAGGTATCATGCAACAAGTTTATTCTGCAAGAACCAAATCAACAATAATAAACATTATAATAAGCAAAATTATACGGATATTGGTGGGGAAAATAAACTGAACATCCAATTGTATCTGGTGCCTAAGATGGGGGCAGATATATAGTACTGCCTCAGAAGAAATTCCTCTTCGCAACGAATATAGAGCGCGTCCTTCCAATAGGCGGCGTAGAGGAAAAATGATACAGTATCATAAACCGCTTTCACATCGGCAACCGTTCCTGCGGCCTCCCCTTCCCGGAGAAGCGATCTTTCCTTCCAGCAACCGGTCTTTGAGGAGAAGACGTGCACGATGTAAGGCGAGGGTGGCCATTCCATCGCAGACACCGACTCATCATCACGACAAATGTGCATACAGATATGCCCCGTCGGAAGCGTGAAGGGAATGTTAGGGATCAAGAACACCTCGTAGTGCGGCGACAGGGCCGGATCGTACACGAGGTAGCGATTCTGGCTGCTGCAACGTGTGCAGCCTGCGGCCGTGCACGAGGGCGGCAGAGGGGGCAGACGCACCCACTGCCGTGTGGCGGGGTTGACCACGTGATAGCACATCAGGAGAAGGCCACTGCAGCAATCCATGATCGGGAAAACGTCGTCCAGCGGCCAGTCCAGGTAGTCGAGCTTACCGGTGACCCTGCGGCCCGTTGCGGGGCTGGAGAAAAGCATGGGTTCGTTATAGGGACAGGTCTCGTAGAAGATGCCATCGAGCGTGAGCGGGAGCAGATCCGCGCGGAGCAGGCGGTTGGCGTCGACGACGGCGCGCCACCCCTTGCACACACAGCGGCACGCGGCCAGGCTGCGCGGCGCGAGGCGGCGGAGGACCTCCGCGACAACGTCTTGGGGCGCCAGATCCATGCCGACCATCGGTCGGTTGGTTGCTTGCTAGTACATGCGGTGTGTGAAGGGGGCCGGCGGCCGGGACGGGGTGGTTGGGGGCTGGGGGAGCTTGGAAGGCGAGATGCCGCGGCCGGGCCGGCGAGGGGAAGATCTGGAAGATTGGATGGCCGCCGGCGCCCCAAAAAATTGGTTCAAAGGATTGGGCACCAGCTACTAGCAGATCTCCAAACATTTAATTCAGCGAAATTAATTCGGAAATATTAACGCTCACACGTGTGGGCGTTAGCCAACTCACCCACACGTCTCCATCACCGTCCAGTAACTTCTGCACGAATCTTGGCACGAATTAGCTGATTTTGTATGCCACGTAGGACAACTCGCGTGTGTGGTGTGTGAGAGAGATCGCTCACACATCCGTTTTACCACATGGAGGGGTCGGCGTGTGGGCGTTTAGCAGTTCGCCCACACACCAGTCTCAGTAACGTACAAGGGCTGGTGTGTGGGCAGTTTGCCATCTCGCCCACACGCCCGCCTCCTCTCCCACACCCAAGCTGTCAGTTGCCATGCGTTTTGCAGTGTACATGGCAACTGTCCTAGTGTGATTGCAAACAGATGGCAACTCTCTTTTTTTTTTACCCGAACATGTCAGTTGCCATATGTTTGGCATCGTACATGGCAAACTGCCCTAGCGTGCACGTAAGCAGATGGCAACTCTTTCTTTTTTAAATGGCAACTGCCCTAGCGTGCTTGTGAGCATACGACAACTCTCTCTTTTATCCGAACATGTTTTTTGCCATGCCTTTTTTTGTAGCACTACACGGCAACTGCCTAGTGTTAGTAGGTGGCAACTCCTAAAGTTTTGAAATCATGGCAATTGCAGTAGAGCAGACCACACATGGCAACAACTGTAGTTGTCCAAAAAATGGCAATCTGAAACTTTGACCTGAGATGGCAACTGCAGTTGAGCAAACATGGCAATTGTAGTTGTCCGACATGGCAACCGTAGTTCAGCGACATGGCAACTGCACTTAAACGAACATGAACGAGGGTCCGGCCCATGGCAACTGCGGGGCGCGCGGTAAAGTGTCACGTGGGGCGTGCGGGCCTGACGTACAGGGCGTGTGGGCGTTATCTATTTCGCCCACACGCACGTGTGTAAGAGGGACCGGGAGAGAAAAAAAGGTGTGTGAGCGCTAGTCGTTTTGCCCACACAGACGTGTGGGCTGGTCCTCTTAGGCACCACACAGAACGTGTGGGCAGATGGTAGTTAGTGGCGTCCAATTAATTATACTCCTGTCGCGACCAGCTAGCAGATTCACCCCGCATCCATTCCCAGCTAGCTCCAGCCGATTGTCCACACAAGTTTGCCTTTGCGTGCAGTCACGGTGGAGGCGATGCAGGAGCACTAGAAGCCCACACAGAACGTGTGGGCAGATGGAACCCTGCATCGGGGCACCAGCTTGTCTCCATCCTTAAGTCCACAAAAGGGACAACAAGTAGGATAGCTTGGCGTTGCGTAGGGGCGCTGCTGTGGGCTATTTGGACGACTCGCAACAAGTTTACGATCGAGAAAAAATTTTCTCGTCATCCCGCAGACGTTATCTTCAAATGTCACTTATTCCTGCAGATGTGGACACCTCTGAGGAAGGAGCGCGATGCTGAGCGCATGTCTGATGCCATGGCGCGCATCAAGGCGATTCAGGTGCAGGCAAGACAGGCGCCGGCAAGCTGACGAGGCTTTTGGAGGGACTTTGCGGCATGTTTGTTATCCCGGTCGTTGCGCTGATCTAGGTGGATATATGTGTTATTTGTCGTGACGAACCTTTTGTCCTTCGCCGTACTGTTCTTGGATCGTTGAAACTTTATCTATCTCTTAGCTTGTAACCAGTTGAACTTGTGGCCTTTGGGCTTTATTAATTTAAAGCCGGACGCTTCTAGCGTGTACGTTCCAAAAAAAAAAGCCCAGCTTCGACCTCATCCACGCGGTAATTAAGGCCTGGCCACTCGCGTCGGATTCAGAGATCAGTCTCACGATCCGAGCTGAGCTAAGCTCCACAATTGTGTTTCTCTAAAGATCTTGACTGGGTTCTGAATTTGTGGTTGGTTGGTTGGTTCATTTCAGGAGGAGGGGCTTGCCTTGTTCAGGATCAACAAAGGAGCAAACCTCTTCCTGCACAGAGGGTGTTCGACCTCTTCTTCCATTAATACATCCTATTTACATCATGTTTTTTACTGTTATTTATATTGTTTTGGACTTATATTCCATATTATGGTGTTATTTATACTAGTAGAATGTCTGTGCGTTGTCACGGGCTAACAAAATTATATGTGAAATTAGTATCGGTTGAATAAACTGTAATTCAACATGAGGATGTTGCATGCGAATTATGATTGTATTGATGATATGAATATTGGTCCTTCTAATACTACCTCGTTTCTGATTTATTGGGCCCACGTGTATCCCTAGATCAATGATTTGATCAACATAATACAAGATATTTTTTTTCAAAAATTATACTATTAGAAACTTCAGATGTAACGAGCTAATCTAGTAGAATGTCTATTCGAGTCCCATCCAGCTAGGGTGACAAACGAGTCAAGCTCAAACGAGTTGACCTAGGCTCGGCTCAGCTCATACTAAAATTTAAGCGAGCTCCGACAAAGTGAAGTTCGATTGTTTCTTAACCGTCTCACTAATAGGATAAGGGTCTCCAGTGAAATTACAATTCTACAAATTATAATGATAGAAGAAGACTGTCCGTCTAAAATAATAATAACAGAAGAGTAACTTATTAAAACTTGAAAAATATGGCTTACTCAAGTAAAGGGACATCATCAACCATATTGATGAACAAACAAAGTTCATTTATTAAGTCGTTGTTTGCTGGATTGACAGACGATGAAAGGATAAATGACCGTGGGATGAGGTCAACTTCTAACAATGCGTTCGGCGTTTTGACGTCCTTAGGGGGGCCTTTTCCAGAATCATACAATCCGTGGGATCTATGTTGTTTTCATCAACTTCCAATCCTTGATATTTTATATCATCTTCAATTCCGAGTCACTAAAATGACAGCTAGTTTTGTTCTAAAATCTTCATATGATCCTGTAAAGTATTAATCAGAATTAGTGATACAACATAGAATAGGTAGAATGATACACAACGAAGTATACCTGTGTAGGAGTGTCAGACAAAATATCTTTCGAACTACTCCATAAAATTTAACATCCACAGACCACAAGATGACCTGCATGATTGTGGAACTTACATATATTCAAATATTAAATAATAATCTATTAACTTTTATGGATAATATTTATATAAAAAACTTTTATAAACATCAAATGATCATGACTGTAAAAAGAATGGACTTTTTTTAGAAGAATGTGAGGTCAGTCGCACATGCCCGATAAAAAAGAATGGCTTTTTTGGAAGATAATTTTTTTTTGGTTTGAACACCGCCACGATCACAGGCAGCACCAACTCCCATCCCCAATCTTCGTTGGTGAGGGTGCTGGTCCCCTCTCCCTCCGCTTGTCGCTCCGATGGCAGGAGGGAGGGAGGGAGGATCTCGTTCTTCCGTTCTGCCCTAGTAGGTAGGGTTAGGGTTTGTCTATTGTGATGCATCATTGGGGTGGTGGGAGTGGCGTCCGGGCGAATAAATCTGCCTCAACTCTATTCCCACACTGGCGGCGACCTTCATGGCGGAGCCTCGGAGTTGATGGCAATGGGTGCTTGTCGTCGTTCCAACGTTCCTTTCTTGACGGTTATGGTGATGGCAGTGTGGAATAAATTTGCTTCGGATTCTATTCCAGTGGGTCACCGTGAACCGGTCGTCGGCGGATCTGGTAGCAGGCTAACCAATCGAGACTGGTGCGGCGGCGGTGCCAACCTCCAGGTGGATTTTATACCCTGGCCCTGCCGTCATGATGACGCGCGCTCTGGCGTCAACATGGGGGCATGGAGCTTATGTAGGAGCGTGTGACTCTGGATTTGTAGGTTCTCATCGGTGGCGACGCTTCATCGTTGTCGCTCAGCAAGCCGATGCAAGTGGCGGCCCAGTTCCAGTCTGGCTTATCTCCGGTGTGCTGGTCCTCTAGGGCTGAGGATGATGACTTCCCGTCGCCTTTAATCCGTGCGCACAACCAAGGGTTTCGTCAACTCCGACAGGGAGCGACGGCAACAGTGACGGTGGCGTGCCCTCATCATGCATTGGTGGTGTTGCTAGATTGGTTCCCCAGAGTGCTATGCCCTGCGTTGGTGAGCTCGGCATACTCGCGGGTGACGCCGGCCCCCTCCATCGTCCTGATGCCCTCATACCTATGTGGTTGTTTGGGTCCAGGAAAGTC